AGGTGTTGTACAAGTGATGACACCAAATTCTACTCCGGAAGGAAAAAAATTATCTGATTCTTTTTGTAGTCACCCCTTAGTCATCAATGCTTTTCATTTTAAATTGATTATTGAAAAAAAAAAGAAAGAAAATAAAAAAAATTCATCGTTGAGAACTTTTGGCGATAAATACAATTCTCAGAGAAGGAAAAAAAACCTCTGCACATTCAGTGTCCAGCACAATGCCTGGCACATAGTCAGTGGTCAGTTAACATTTGTTGAATGAATACTGAATATATACATCAATTAATTTGGCATCGGCTTTAGCTTGATGCCAAGCCAGTTTCTAGGGATTATTGTCACTGCTTCAGTTTGCCTTAAGGATGACCAGAACTGCCTCCTTTTGTGGTCTGAACTTGGTCAGATATTGTAAGCTGTATTCATCACTTAATCTTAAAAGGAAAAATATATGAAATTCTTTTGGGGAAAAACAAACCCCCAAAAAACAAAAACACCAAGAAACCCCCAAACCACGGTGAGATACTGCTGCAACCAGAGGGCAAGAGCACCTGGCTCTGTGGGTCCCAAACAGACCAGGTTTGGCCACTGGCCACTGACAAAATCCAATGGCAGAGAGACAAGTGTTAGCCAGTACAGGGAGATATTGGAGCCTGTGTGCACTGCTGGTGGGAACGTAAAATGGTGTAGCCACTGTGCCAAAGTTTGGGAGATTCCTCAAAAAATGAAGCAGAATTATCAAATAGTCCAGCAATTTCACTTCTTGGGATGTACCCCTAAGAACTGAAAATAAGGACTGGAAAAGATACCAGAGTTCATAGCAGCATTATTCAAAATAGCCAAAAGGTGGAGACAATTCAGACATCCAAAGAGATGAATGTGGGAATCATGTACAATGGGAAATGATTGTGCCTTGAAAAGAATGGAATTTTGAGACATGCCATAATGTGGATGAACCTGACAACGTCATGCTCTGTCAAATAAGCTGGACACAAAAGGGCAAATATTGTATCATTCCCCTTATATGAGGTTCCTAGGATAATCAAATGTTAAGAGACAAAGTAGAATTGTGATTACTAGGGGTTGAGCTAAGGGGACAATGGAATTATTCTTTTTAGAGCCTTAAAAAAACATGCATTTGTTTTAAAGAGAGAGAGAATGTGGGGAGGAGCAGAGGGAGAGAGACAAGCAGACTTGGGGCTCCATCTTACAACCCTGAGATCATGACCTGAGCTGAAATCAAGAGTCCAACACTCAATCGTCTGAGCCCCACCCCAGGTGCCCTAATATTATTCTTTAATGGGCACAGAGTTTAAGCTTGTAATATTTTATAAACAATTCATTTTTAAATGTTTATGTCATTAGATCAATTCCTTTCTTTCATGCTTTCAGATTTGGTGATATGCTTAAAATGGCCTTCCCCGAAGATCTGCACTTCTGTTGTGTTCTAGGACTTCTTTGGTTTTATTTCTTACTCTTCAGTATTTAGCACATTCAGAGTAATGTTATGAGATAAAAAAATAAACACTTTTTACTTAACGTTAGATAGTCAATTTTGATAAGAATCTTTGTTAAATAATCTCTTCTTCCTTCTGCTAATTAGATTTGTCATCTTTGTAATACAGTAAGTGATGTGGGAAACAAAGGCAGAAGAGAAATTATTAAGTTTCCTTACTACCTACAGCCCATTGACAAGTCCCTGAAATAGGCAGAGTGACATTCCTCTAGGGACACAAGGTCCTCGATGTTGACAACTTGATAAGGGCAAAAGGCAATCTTAGCCCAACCCCAGGACCCTGTGACTCTACTTTAACATATAAAAATTCCTTTAGAAATTTCCTTTATCTCTAAACTCCCAAGATACGTGTTGACAAACCCTCAAAGCATATGGCCAACTGATATACATCTGAAGGGTCTTACGACTAAGGTTTTACTAGATGGTAATGAATGGCTTTTTTCCAATAACAGCTAGTCCACTGAAGTCCTGGAAACCTTGCTTCCAAAATTCTTTGGAGACTCAAGCTATCCCTAATTCCCTCCCAACTTGAAAGTATATAATGGACCTCTCCTCTTGACCCCAGTACAGCTCTCTCTGCCCACAGGTCCTGTCTCTGTGCTTTAATAAAACCACCTTTTCCCAACAAAGATGTCTCAGGAATTCTTTATTGGCCTTTGGCTTTGAATCCTAACATCTTTCTTACATCAGTAAATTTTCATATTCTGGCCTTCTTTATAGATGATTCTGTGTGATAGGCATGCACCGCCTGTAAGTGGAGAGCTACGGACTACAGCCTCTCTCTGGGATGTCCCTGAAGGACAGTGGTGAGAGGAGATCTTTCCAGTAAGTGGAACTTTTATACTTGTCATGAGTCTTTCCTTCTTGTTTTGTGACGAATAGGTTTGTATATATACACGCACGTATATTAAGGAAATATCTGTGTTCTCTTCATTCCCTTATTCTCTTACCATGTAACATAAGGCATACGGACTTTGTGTATTTATTAATTTTACATCATGGTATTTAAGCTGTGGGATATCGAGAGAAAACACCTTTGGAGTTTACCTCATTTTCTGGGGAAGGGATTAGCATGTTTTGCCTTGTAAGCGGGATAGTTGTATCGCCTACGGATGTCACAGTTAAGCAAAAAGGAAGGGAATTTAAAAGTGTGGAAGACTCTTGGCCCATCCATCTTGAAACGAATGAGAAAGACTGGGCGAGAACACTATGTGTGGCCAAGTTTTGATAAGGAGATTGGTATGGAACAGCCCTCTGAACAGAGGCCAAGAGTGGAAGATGACCATGTTTTCTTACTACTGTTGTTCTCTGCCACTTTTATTTATGTGCGTGTGTGTGTGTGTGTAGGTGTAATAACCTTTCGTCATGTAACTTGCTCATGTTCTTTCTTGTCATTCATCCTTTCACTTCTGTGGTAGGCTTTTATTCTATTAATTTTTCTGTAAAGAAGTCTCATGCAGTCAGGTCCCTCAATAATTTGTATGTTCTAGGCCATGGCCTTTTGTTTTATTTATTTTAAAAAGGTTTTATTTATTTATCTGACACACAGAGAGAGAGATCACAAGTAGGCAGAATAGCAGGTAAAGGGAAAGGGAGAGAAGCAGGCTGTCCACTGAATGGTAGCCCAATGCAGGGCTTGTTCCCAGGACTCTAGGATCATGAACTGAGCTGAAGGCAGATGCTTAACTGACTGGGCCACTCAGGCGCCCCTAGGCCTTGTCCTTTTAGGGGGTATCTGTTGTGGGGGTACCTGGGTTGTGGGGTACCTGGGTTAAGCGGTAGACTCTTCACTTGATCTTAGCCAAAAAGCCAAGAAGCGATAAGCCGTGAACTATTAATTTCAGCTCAGGTCATGATCTCTGGGTCCCCTAATCCAGCAGTGTAGGGTTCCCTACTCAGCTTGGAGTCTGCTTGTCCCTCTCCCTCACCCTGCTTACACACTCTCTCTCCCTCGCTATGTCTCTCTCAAATAAATAAAATCTTTAAAAAAAAACCCTAGCTGTTGCTACTGTATTCTAAATCTGTCTTATTTATTTAAAATATTTTGTGCTCTAACACGCACGTATATCAATATAATATTGTGCAAAGTTTGAACAATATGAATTTTCTCCTGTAATTTTAAAAAATAAAACTGCTGGTTAGTTTCCCCCCCAAAATGGGTTTAACAGAGAATTGCAATCTGGGATAAGCAAGCTATGGCAAAACCATAGGCGAGTCTGGGGAACAAAGGAAAGGAAGGCTGTTCTATATAGAAAATGGGGAGATGGGGGCCTCTTGTAAACACAAAGTCCATTGGGTTAAACTGGGAGTTGGAAGAATGGTGGCTTCTCATTGGCGGCTTCTCATTGGCTGAGCTGTGACAGTCTCTCATTGGCTGGGCTGTTGCTGGGGCTGGAGGAAAACCTTTGTTCCTCCAGTGGGCACTAAAGTAGTAAAGTACTAGGGGCTGCAGGTGACCGGGAGTATAGGGTGTGAGAGCTCCCCCTGCTGGCCTGCGGACTCCTTTTTTTTTTTTTTTTTTTAAATAGGCTCTGTGCCCAGTGTGAAGCAGAGCCTGGGGCTTGAACGCACAAACTTGAGATCAAGACCTGAGCTAAGATCAAAAGTCAGCTGCTTGACCGGCTGAGCCACCCAGACGCACTAACCCCCAACATGCCGTTTTAAATGAGGTTTCCTTTTATAAATTTTTACACTTCCAATATTAATTTTCAACAATGCAAAAAACATTCAAGATGAAATATAAACCATCTCCTTGGGAAAAATTAAAGTCTCACAATAACTGAATGCCATGAACTCTCTCTTCAATTTCACTCATACTGCTGTGCACTCCTCAGAGGGACCTCTCTCTGATGTATAGGAGAATTGAGGATCCTTCTGCTAATGTCATAGCCTCAGCAGTGTGAGAGCATATCAGGTGTTTCTCCTGACACACAGTCCCTGTCCAGAGGGGACCAATGTATAAAACACAGGTTTATTTTCCTAAAATAACTGTGTGGCTTCGTATCTATAAAATGTGGCAAAATAAGTCTTGAGTATTGTTGCACAACTGCCCGTTGTCTGTCCATTATTCCTCCCCTCTTCCTTTCTAAGAGAACCCAGCCTGCCTTGCAATTGAGGGGAGACCTTTGAGAAATGAACAGAAGCAGCTGTGTGGGGTTTCTGAGAGAGCCCTTGCAAGTGGCAAGTCTTTTGGCTCTGCTGTCTTCTTCCTGCCTGCCTGAGATAGGAAGAGATGGGTGGAGCCCCAGCAGCCATCTTAGAAGCATGGGATGATAGCTCCCAACCTAGAGATGGTAGAGGAGAGAGCTGGAAGGATTTGAGTTTCTCAGAGATAGAATGCATTGAAAAGTCCTCTAATTTCAGGCTTCTTCTCAGAAAATAATCTGTCAGTGTGTGGAAGTGGGTGTTGTTGAGCCAATGGCAGAACTGTGTTCCATTTCCTGATATCCTGGACCCCCTCCAGATAGCAGCCTGGTACTCACCACCGCTAAGAGGATTTGGAGCCCCTGCCAAAGAGTCTTCTTACAGCCTTCTTCATGTCCTGGTTCCTCAGGCTGTAGATGAAGGGGTTTAGCATGGGGGTCACCACTGTGTACATGATGGTTGCTACTGTGTCCTGGACTGAGAAGGAGTTGGGGGGTCGTACGTATACCCCCAGGACAGTTCCATAGAACAAGGTGATCACAGACAGATGGGAGCTGCACGTGGAAAATGCCTTGCGCCTTCCTGGGGCGGAGGGGATGTGGAGAACAGCTGCAGCTATGCGGAGGTAGGAGACCACAATGAGTGCACAGGGGGCCACGAACAGGACTACGGCCCCTAGGAACACGTGCTCATTGACCCGCGTGTCCGAACAGGCAATCTTCATCAGCAGGTAGGCGTCACAGTAGAAGTGGGCAATCTCCCGGGCAGAGGAGCAGAAGGTCAGTCTGTCCATGAGGAGTGTGTGGACCAGGGAGATGAGGCCCGAACACGTCCACGTGAGTGTGGCTAGTCCCCTACAGAGCTGGGGGGTGATAATGGTGTGGTACTGCAGGGGGTGGCAGATGGCCACATAACGGTCCAGTGCCATGGCTGCCAGCAGGAAGGTATCCAGGTTGGCAAAGGAGATGAGGAAGTACATCTGGGTCAGGCAATGGGGGTAAGAGATAGTCCACGTTCCTGCCACGTGGCTGGCCAGCAGCTTGGGGATCAGGTTAGTGGTGAAGCAGATGTCAACAAAGGAGAGATTGGTGAGAAAGAAGTACATGGGGGTGTGCAGGCGGGGATCAGAGCCAATGACCAGGATGATGAGTGTGTTCCCGGCCACGGTGACCAGGTACATACACAGGAAGAGCCAGAAGAGGGCTTGACGCTGCTCCGGGTCCCTGGTGATGCCAAGCAGGAGGAACTCGGTGACTCCTGTCCCGTTTTCCTTCCCTCTGGACATCCCACTGTGGCTTGGGGAGGTGACAGGCTGCACACACAAGGGAGAGGACAAAATCCCAGCAGAACCTGGTCTTGCTCTAGAAAGAAATGAGATCAGAGGTCATTTGTGATCAGATTCATGACCAGAAGTTTTTTTTTTAAGATTTTATTTATTTATTTGACAGAGAGAGAGAGAGATCACAAGTAGGCAGAGCGGCAGGCGCGGGGGTGGGGAGCAGGCGTCCTGCTGAGCAGAGAGCCCCATGCAGGGCTTGATCGCAAGACCCTGAGATTGTGACCTGAGCTGAAGGCAGAGGCTTAACCCACTGAGCCCCCAAGCACCCCATGACCAGAGTTTTGTACCTATGGTAACTGCTGCTTTTAATCAAGTACTTATCACGTGCCACTGTGCTAAGGAGTCTACGTGCACGATCTCTCTTAATTGCCACAAAATAGGTACTTTTATGATTCTTGGTTTTTGGGTGAAATAGCTGAGATGGAGTAGTTTCCTCGACCGTGTGGATGGGAAGTGGCAAAGGAGACTGGGAACCCACGGTCTGAGCCCAGAGCCTGTGCCTCACCCATCCTTCTACAGAGGACCCGCCTCGTTCCTCCGGTGCTGCATACTGAGGGCAGTGTCCTGAATCTTCGAGCTCAATTCAGCCAGCATGTCCTCTTTAGAAAGGACTTGGTGCCTTGGTTCTTGCCTACTTATCTGACTGCATGTCCTGCCAGCCACCTGGGACTGTGTGCCTTACCTGCCTCAGAACAGGGCCTTTGCATGGGCTGTTCTTGGCTTGGTGTTCTCTCCACCTGGACCCTCATGTGGTGATTTGTCACTTTGTATCTCTTTGGGAGGTTATGTCAACTGTGAACTAGTTTATGGTGGGTTTTCCCTATAAGACCATTCCCTCCTGAGAACAGGTTGTGTCGACGCTGTTCTCTGTTGTGTGCCCAGTGCCCGGAACAATCCGCAGCACATGGTCAGTCCTCAACAGAGCTGTCAAAGGGAAGAATGAACTTTCACAAATGTACTGCATACCAAAATTGACAGAAAACACGCAGACACCACACTGAATGAGAAATGTTCTGTTGTGATTAATGAATGCATTTAGCAAAAAAAGTTTTGGCTTATAGCATAAATTCCAGGTGTTTCTTTGTTTCTTCCTTTTTAAAGATTTTATTTATTTTTTTAAGAGAGAGAGAGAGAGAGAGAGAGCTCATGCAGAGGAGAAGCAGACTCCCGGTTGAGTGGGGAGCCTAACATAGTACTCAAAGCCAGGATCCCGGAATCATGACCTGAGCTGCAGGCAGATGCTTAACTGACTCAGCCCCACAAGGCACCTCTGCAGGTGTTTCTAAGAGCAGAGTGAAAGGCAGGCAGGATTGAGCCTGGCTCTGTGTCAATAGGAATTTCCTAGAATATATGAGTGAGGAGTGATTATGTATCCAGTTCATGTGATCCAGGACCTGGGACCACCATAGACCAGAGGAAGAAACCAGACACTGCCTGCAGGTGTATTTATTTGGTTTAAACCCTTAATGATCTACAGGGTATTTCCTATTTGCTGACATTTTAAAAGTCAAGGATCATGGAGTGCCTGGCCTGGGTGGCTCAGTCGATTAAGCAGCTGCCTTCGGCTCAGGTCATGATCCCTTGGTCTTGGCATTGATCCCTGCATTGGGTTCCCTGCTCAGCAGGAAGTCTGCTTCTTTCTCTCTCTCTCCCCCTCTCTCCCTCTGTCTCTCAAATAAATACATAAATACATAAATACAAAAAAAAAATAAATACATAAATATTTTTAAAAATCAAGGATTTCGTATAAAATCTGGATTCTGCCTCTTCTTTTTTTTTTTTCAAAGATTTTATTTATTTATTTGACAAAGAGAGATCACAAGTAGGCAGAGATGCAGGCAGAGAGAGAGAGGAGGAGGAAGCAGGCTCCCTGCTGAGCAGAGAGCCTGATGCGGGGCTCCAACCCAGGATCCTGAGATCATGACCTGAACCGAAGGCAGAGGCTTTAACCCACTGAGCCACCCAGGTACCCCTCTGCCTCTTCTTGAAAAATCAGCTGACCTGGAGACATTCTTGGCCAGCAGCAATCAGCTGGGGAAGGTGAGCAGCTAATACTTGCCAAGTACTCCTTGTGCTTAGTGCTGTACACAGATGCCTCTGGTATCCCTCAGATCCCTCCTCTGCAGTCATTCTCTAAATGTCCCTGTTCCACATGAGGCAGGGGACGCACAGCAGAATTAAGCGATGCTCGCAGAGCCACAGAGCTAGTGGCCTTCCTCCCCAGGCTGCCCTGTGTTAGCTGATTTTCATCACCATGGTTGTCTCCTGTTTCCACCCCTGGAATCACTCGGGGCAAGTCTATGCACTTTCTATGTGCCATCCTCTCTCGTATCTTCTAGAAGCTATCATTTCTCGAGATTGCCTTATCCCCAGGAAATCTAAATTCTGAAGGATTTTTCGAAAGCTAGGATGAAGAATTTGCACAAAGTGTAGCTGCTTATGGGAATCTGATTTTAGGTGCAGAGTTGTTCATGTCCGCCAAATTTTTTTTTTTAAGATTTTATTTCTCTATTATTTGAGAGAGAGAGAGAGAGAACTCGAGAGGAGAGAGGTCAGCAGGAGAAGCAGACTCCCTGTCAAGCAGTGAGCCCGATTCGGACTTGATCCTGGGACTCAGGATCATGACCTAAGCCGAAGGCAATCGCTTAACCAACTAAGCCACCCAGGTGCCCCTCCACCAAATTTTTAACAGAAAACCAAATGAAGTATTTCTTCAGGACCTTAACCTAACACTGTCAGCATTATACCCTGTTCCTGTCCCATTCCTTCTGGTCTTCTACTTCATGCTTCATGTAGTAGATAAGTCAGAGTAATTTATTTACCCACTGGCTTCAAATGATTTCTTTACCAAAATCTAAACATTGGATATGATTTCTCAAGACTAAGTTTTGCCTCATTATGACAAATTTTAAGGATGTAGCTGAATTTTTTTTATCATAGAAATTTCTGGCACTGACTGGATCCCAGGGTAGTGCTTTGGTCCCATCATGTTCTACAGAGAATTTGTGTTGTAATCATGCTTTGTATTGTGGGATTTGATCTGTAGCATGGATTCTGAATTCTTAAGGGACATCTGCAGCTACTTTCATATAACTTGAAGTAAAGCAAAATGGCAGAAATTAGGAGACTTTCATCCATCTGCTCATGCCGTTATCAGTTTGGTGGGTGTGGAGCACTCATCTCATCCCTGTGGGGCCACCAGTGAAGAGTGTTCAATAGACCCTGTGTCCTGGGAACACTACTGCCATTCAGAAGGCAGTTACTAAACTCAAAAACTGGTATGTTTAAAGCCAATGAGGAGTAGAATTGAGATGTATTGGAAACTCATGGTGAAGTGGAAAGGAAAATGGTGCCTGGTGTGTTGGGGAGAATACTAGGAAACATAAGACAATAAAGACCGCCTCCTCAATATTTTCTTTAAAGTTCCACATTGCCTAGTGTTTGGTTTGGGATCCTTAAATGGAAACATCAAAAAATCCATTCTGTTTGTGTAGGACTTTGCACCATGCGGGCCCATGTCCCATTCTCTAGAATTCTCTGCTGCTCACTGGGCAAGATGGGTGACACTGATGCTCTGGCTCACCTTTTGTCTTGAAGTGGATTTGACTGCTTGTTCTCCTTTTCCCTCTCTGAACAATGGGGATGGCCTGTGAGGATGAGAGAGAGGGTGACTGAAAGTGCCTGGCACAGTCCTTCCATGTCACATGGAAGTCTGTGGGCAGCAGCTCCCCATTGAGCTGTTACATCCTTTCCTCAGAACCATATTAGATGTCATGCACAATGCTGACAGAGGGACACCCAGAGGCCAGACCCTCCCCTCCCTTAGAGGAGCTGTTAGATGAAAGGTCATATAACACCACATGTGAATCTAATAACCTCACATTGAGGGTGTCTGTGTCTGAGCTTCTCCTCTGTTCCAGCTTCCCTGGGTCCCACCTGGCTGCCCGTGCTGATCTCTGTTCCTTCCCTAGATTGCAGTCTGGCCTTCACCTCTCTCCTCCAGGACTGGCGGCAGATTCTGTGACTGACCCACCTGGAACAGGATCAAGGGAAACAGGGCTGTGGCAGGTGAAATGGACTGCTACAGCCTCCCACCTACAGGAGAAACTGGCCTGGAGCACCTCTGGAAGTGAGAGTGCTCCCACTACATGCTGTCCCTCAGTGGGGGGCACCTGCTCCTTCCCAGAGTAGCTTGCTTCTCTTTGAACCCTTTGGTTAAAAATTTCTATAGATTAGGAATTTAGGGTGACCCCAAGGTCTTATTTGTGGGACTGTGGGTTGTCGTTTGAAGCAATCGTGCCATTGTGCAGAAGGTGAGGTCCTGGTTTGGGAACAGGGGACCCGCAGTTGCTTGAGCCCAGGGCACAGAGCCATCCTATGAGTTACCAGTGTGACTAAATTTTGCACTTTGTAGTTTCTAATGGGGTTAGCCGATAGCATTCTCAAGCTGTGATTCAATAACATCTGAAAGAGTTATGGTGATTCAGGGGCACCTGGGTGGTTCAGTCGGTTGAATGTCTTGACTCCTAATTTTGACTCAGGTCATGATCTCTGACTTATGGGATCGAGCTCTGCCTTGGACTCTGTGCTCAGTGGGGAGTCTGCATGTTTCTCTCTCTCTGCTCCTCCCTGTGCTTGCTCTCCCTCCCTTTCTCTCTCTCAAATAAAAAAATTAGATCTCCAAAGAAAAAGAGTTATATTGACTCAAATGTTTAAAGACCTTCCCTATACATGACCTGACTTACCTATCTGCAGCCCTATGAAGTAGCTGCGTCAGATGGCAAGTGTGATCACTCCATGGATAATTACAGTTAAATATGCACAAGTCTGGGAAGTATGCTTGTGGACTTATGGGTAGCAACCTACACAAATCTCACTCCTCGGGGGCGCAGGGACAATACCTGGGGTCCGGGGCAGCACGGCCAGTTCTCTTATCCTCTAGGCTG